CTGGTCACTGTAGTCCTCTGGGAATTGCCTCCGCACCTCAGGATCTGTAAATAATTGACAGATAATATTAATTGGCTTTGGATTAGTGAGCAAGCAGAGAATCACACATTAATATTTGATCAGAAGATGATAGCAACCCTGGCAGGGGATCCAAGGAGGGCAGCTGAGGCTGCTATGTTGATAAGAGCAGGGAAGGACTTTTCAAGGCTCTCCCTTTACCCTCCTCCAGAAAGAAAAAAATTGTATATAAAACATACACACGCAACACACATGAAACCATAAATATCTGTGTGTACATACACATGCATATACACACACATCTATATGTAAGTAGATATTTATATATACATTATTTTATAAGGGATGTCCTGGTGTTACACTGAACTTTAGGCTGTTACGTTGCACAGTATCTTTCTGGCTGCAATTTGCCAACTAGGCTTGTCACCAGAAAACGGTTACCAAATGCAGTTAGATTTTCTCTGTAATCAGATAACTAGTTTTGCCAGCTACAGACACTGCGTCGATTAACCTCTACAGACGTTTTCAGTGATACCAGATTATAAATCTCTCAAAATTACTTTACACTAATGTTAAGGTATACTCCCTAGAAAACAAAAAATATTTATCTGGAATTTGAAAGAGGTAATTAATGTAGCCCTGAAACCTCTAATGCTTCAGATTAGCAAGCATTCAAGAGTGATGCAACGTCCTTTGGATTGTCAGAATAAATAATATGGTAGTATTCCCTGAATTTAATTAGAGATGTTCATAAAACAACAAAATATCATGATTGAAATTATTTATATGACAACTTATTTAAAACAGAACTCTTCAAAGCCATCCATTTTTCAAAGGAATATGGCTGAGAATACCAGATTCCATTCTACAAAGAATTTTTTTTAATTACAAAAACCAAAAAACAAACCATACAACAATCACATAAGAGTTCAGAATAAAGTGTAGGCGCAGAAAAAAATCAACTCTACTACAGAGTTTCTTTTGTGCAATCAGATGGGTTTGGTTGTATGAGGCTTTGCTCACTGGATACATTGTTACCAGTTTCTTGACTCTCTATACACTTTCCATAAATTTTCATCATTATGTAGGGAGTGACGTGGCATACACAACCTACTGCTCAATTATTGCTACACTGCATTGTAGCTGAGGCTTGAGCGGAAGAGTCATTTTTATGACACGTGCACCATACACTGTTTAGTAATAAATCAGTTGATTGGTGATTCAATTGCTAGCAGATGCAAACTTTTTATTAAGGTGTATTCTTTTTTACATTAGAAGAACAGCAAGACTGTACATTAATAAACCTTCTTGCTTAACTTTTTCCAGACAATCAGATGCTTAGTTTTAACATTTCACCATTACACACATACAATTACATATACAATATATCAAACTTCACATATGCATATGAGCAAATCCTTCTACATTAACACAACAAAGTAGAAATAGAAAGCAAGGGATCACATTAGCCTTAGTTTGAAAATTCCTAAATCCATATGCGGGTAAGTGTACTTAGCTGTGTCCAAACATGCAAACAAATGTGAACAGCTGAACTGGCCTGAACAGTCCTTTATACACAAGTAACAATTAACAGGACAATACAGTTTCATATTTCACCAAAGCAAGCTCAGTATCAGTAGTAAGATGAAACTATGCAACATCTATTATGATGCATATTCTTAAATATTTTTAAAATTAACTATTTGAGGCTAAACTTTCCAGATTTCACAGAAAAGACAAATCAATGAAAGAAATAAAATTTGTAAATCCAAGTACATAATATTGCTTAAGAAATCTGTAATGGTGCCTGGAACATGATATTGACATTCCCCCCAAAACCACTTCTATTCACCAGTTGCTCTCAAACTTAATATAAATATATATACACATACTGACACACACAGCATTTTATCATTTACCATTCTTTTAAGGAAAAGAGGAATTAACTTGGGACATAAATCCATACTGTGTTTGCTCTAAACACATTCCTCCATAGTTCGTAATCCACATTTTCCATTCTTTAAAAATACAACAAAAGAGATTAGTCACACAAAGTAATTGTGTGTGTGTGTAAGCATGTATTTTTCCTGTTTTCTTAGCATCTTGAAAGCCTTTCTGTGTTTCAGGAGCCCACTGGGAGGAAAGGCTCCTCCTCCTATAGCCGATGGAGGAAGGCCTATAGGAACCTGCTTGTCAGCATTTATGCAAACCCTGAAAGCTCCTAGCAAGATCACCGTCCAGGAGACAGAGGTGCATTGTGCACCACTTCGCAAGATACTAAGATTCACTCATAGGCACTGGTAGCTGAAAGTTATCATGGGCAAACAAATATATGCTGGTGCTTTTATTGTCTCAGAGGCCACCTTACAAACCTTTCTCATTAAAATGAAACAAAACACAACTTAAATAATAACTTAAAAATCACAGCCAAGAATTTGTTGTTAGGCAATTTTGGGTTTAATTTTAGCTTTGTCTATATACATCAATTTTCATTCAGAGTTTTTATTTAAATATGTTCATTCTTACAGAAAATTGGGATTTTTTTTTTCTTGCCTCTCAAAAATTTATGTGCCATCAAGAAATAAGGTGGAGCAGCAGCCACAGAAAACACAGCATAAAATAAACAGAAAAAACCTCCCTGTTCCATACATGTCCCTAGCACAGGCAAGTCAAAATCATAGAATCATAGAATGGTTTGGGTTGGAAGGGACTTTGAAGATCATCTAGTGCCAACCCCCCTGCCATGGGCAGGGACACCTTCCACTAGACCGGGTTGCTCAAAGCCCCATCCAACCTGGCCTTGAACACTTCCAGGGATGGGGCATCCACAACTTCTTTGGGCAACCTGTTCCCATGCCTCACCACCCTTACAATAAATCAACTTACAATAAACCAGAAGTTTTCCATTGTCCTCATCTCTTATAAGGACCACTACATTTTGTACATCAGTTGACTAGACTATACACTGACCAGGATTTGGCAAAATTTTCAATGTTTACCCATTCACATGATGTAGAGTGCGGTACAAAATTAAAATGCAGTTATGGTGATTACCAATACAAAGTTACAAACAATAACTTCCCCCTCTACCATCACTAATCAGAATGCATATCTCCAACATTTCTTTAATATCCTTTGGTATCAATAGCCAGTAATGAAGGATATTTCAATTTTCAAAGTTACTGAAATGTTTAACTGATCTACTACAAAATTATTTTCCTTAATTATTTCAGAAATTATGCATTTCTGAATATTTGTTCTTTAGGGGTGACACGCACTAGTTAAAAATTAGACCATGGGTTATTAAGAGCTTTACAATGCACCAAAAATCAGATCACCTTTATAAGATGTGATGTAGTTTCTTTTTCCATTGTATAGTGTTTTCCAAATAAAGATACTGAAAGTTTAGTAAATATTCCCAGACCATTTAAAAGCTGAAGTGATGGAGCTGACGCAATGTTAAATATAAAGTACTTGTAAAAACAAGTGTGTGGCTGCCAGGCGTAATTTAAAGGTGGTTTTCTTAACTGTAGGGTTCCAGGTTATATGGATTAGCCATTCCGATTCTGTTACGAGATGTGTCATCAAAAGCAGACTGTATACAAACTATATATCCCACTGTCTTAACAGGCATGTGACACGCAGTGCAATTCCACAAGGTGCTTTGCTCATTCAGCTAAGTACATATTACTGTTACTTCCATTGAAATTGGTGGATGAGAAATTAAGTTAATTTCATGCATTTCATGCATTGTGGATGAAATTAAATTTCTTCTAATGTAAACAGTTGATTGACATAGGAAGTTTTTATTTATCGTAAAGACAACTTAGCTTATGAATGTATCATAGCACTGTGAGATCAATTTTTTGGATGAAAATATAATTGTAGACTGTGTGCTTTGAGAATGTGTTCACCTTGAACCTGACTCAGGTAGGGACTCTAATCGCAGTCGCATCTTCTTCTAAACTACGGTGTGGTAATGTTTAATCTGGTGAGTGAAATAGTACTATCTACGTGAGGATTCAGTTCACCAAAGCCTGGATTCAGATGTTCTCAGTTGCTTAGTCTTGAAAACAACTATAACTACTTCAGTTGCTTGAAGTCTCCACAGCACAGCAAGCATCCAACAAATTTCCTCCTGTCTTCTTACTGAGCCTTGCAGTGTGTGCATTTTACTGTCTAATTTTTTAAAGAGGTAGAAATAATTTATCCTTTAGGATACAGATCAATAGACAAGTAAAAGTGGAATGGTACTAGTTAAGAGATATAGAAAAGACTATGAAATAGCAAAGTAAAAATTATATTACAGTCAATAAGCTATTATGTGGAAAAGTTTAGAAACTCCCCATTTTGTGTTACTGAGTTGCTTAAAAGGCCCATTTCAATAAGATCTATTACCTGTGGGTTTGTAGGGGTTTGGGTCATCTTTTCTTTTTTTTTTTTTTTTTTCCCTTCTTTTCTTTCAATTTTCTCCTGTTACCAAGCTCACTGATGATGCAAAATACGAAACAGATATTCTAAATATTTACTCACAGTTTATGAGTTACTAGGCTGGATGACCTATAGGAAGGGTTCTTAAAATGTGGCATTCCTGGTTTTTAAAATGTGGCTTTCCTGCCTCTTGTGGTATGCAAACCGCAGCAGCAAAAGATAATCCATCCTCACTGCATTTTCTCAAGAGAAGGTGGAGGCCAGCCTTCTGCATTTACACGTGGCCTGACCTGGACACAATATCTAAATTATTCTGAACAGGGGAAAATGGTCATACAAATGCAGGAATACAGAAGCTCAAACAAGCATTCAGGATTCAGCTTTAATCAGCACCACCAGTATCAGTAAAATACGCTTCAGTACACATGTGAAATACTTGGTAAAGACGTGAATATAACTGACTGTCAACTGTATCTATAAAACTGAAGTAACTTAAAAACTTCAAACACTTTTACTAACGGTAATTTGTTTTGCACAACTGCATCCAAACAGAATTAGATGTTGCTCCATTGTATCTCCAGACAGTAAGAAAAGC